AGAAGCCAAAGCTGTTGAAACCATTTCAATTGGTAGACTCAATCAAATGAATGACTTCCAATCAATTCCACTCATCCAGCTTCGTCAATACTTTAACAGTACTTCAAATGTAACCCAAAAAAATCCCCCATTGAGGTATTTACAATTGAGCTTTTTTGTAGAGCTAAAGCTACTGTATCTTTCTGTACGTTGTGCTCTGTTTTGGTAACACCTAAACCTCAGCCTTTTAGCGTCATAAATTCTTCATTTCTCTCACAATATTCCTGAGAAGATCAAGAATGCCAATGCCCCCAGAAAGGATATGTTTACAGATTTCTAAGCACAAAGTTTCACCTCGAAAATCCACTTGCGAACAGCGGCGGTCGCTTTCAATTCGAGCTGCTTCTCCAGTGAGAAAACGAGAACAGGCGCTGCAAATTTGCATAAATGAATACCATATTTTCTCTAATAGTAGTGCACCCGGAGCGTTGCTTAAATTCCACGTAATCTCCAGAAGCGTTTCGCTTAGAACCTATCGATGTGAGATCGGAAAATCCGCTGACGATGAGGTCTGGCGGAGGATTTGAGTGTTGAGCCCCCGCAAAAGCTTCGAAACAGTAAAATAGTCATCAACTCCGCTCGCCTGGGTGCACTGTTCCTTGAAAATACGATACTTAAAATAAGCTTTAGGATTTGATTTAGACATTAAAGTTTTGAGTTTAATTGACAGCCGAATATTCTTCGTGGTGGCGGTAGAGAATCCCCTGCGTCACACAGAACATTGTGTTATTGATTGAACGGAACTGGAATGATCAGAAATCTTAAAGATATCTAGAGCTAATATCTCTAAAGTCTCTAAAGATCTCTAAAGCTCTCTAAAGATCTCTAAAGATCTAAAGCTTTGTAAAGATCTCTAAATATCTCTAAAGCTCTAAAACATCGCTACAAAGCTCTCTAAAGCTCTCTGGGGCTTTCTAGATCTCTAAAGCGTCTAAGCTCTATAAAGATCTCCACAAGATCTTAAAAACTCCTCTAAAGATCTGCAAGGTCTCTGGAAACATCTCTAAGAGATCTCTAAATAATATAAAACCGATAAAGGGTCTCTCAAAGATCTCTAGATCTCTAGATCTCTATAGTCTCTAGATCCTAGATCTCTATATCTCTAAGTTCTCCCAAGGAGTCTCTAGATCTCTAGATCTCTGCAGATCTCTCTAAATATCTCTAAAGCTCTAAAGCTCTCTAAGCTCTAAAACATCTCTAAAACCCCCAAAGATCTTTAAAAGCATCTCTTTTTATCTAGAGACTTTCCCAGCACTCACAACTTGTGTACTGAGATAAATATTCAGTTAGCTGAGCGATGTCATTCGTTTCCGGATAGGGAGAGAGACGATCGATAGAAGCTTGACCGAAGAACAGGTTTGATGGGTAGTACTGTAAGGAAAATCTATATAGTAATTTGGAATTTAACATACAAAATAAGCTTTGTTGTACTTTGATGCTTTTTTAATGTACTTTAATGTACTTTGTTGTACCTTGATGTCAAATTTTAAATACCCCTTCTCTAGCGAGCCTTTCCCTACTTTTCTCTCAGCAGCCAGCTCAGAGAAAACGCCGAAGTAAGTAAAGTGACCGAGTAAAGTGGCACAACAGATGCTGGATTGTCAGCCTAGTGACTCCCCAGCTTCCCACCGTGGCACACGGGAGGCGTAGAGGAAAAATTACTCTCTCTCTCTTTGACAGCCCCTCAGGTACTCTTCCCCTAGTAAGTAATTCAAGAGCAAGTAAGCGCGTTTACACACGTTTTGAAGAAGAATGAATCAGCCTCAAGTAGCAGTGATACCAGTCTCTTGTTCCCTCTTACATACATCATCTCCCAGAGTGATCTCATCTAGTGTCTGATCGAAAGAGAATCATTCCCATTTTGAGGTCTAAAGCAAATCCTATTATTCAAATTTAACAACTACTATAATTTGGCTTTTATCGGAGACCCAGTACTTAACAGATACTGGATTGTCTTCTAGTCTTCCCTAAGAACTCTCATCTTTTCCAGCTTGTCGCTTGAATCAACTACAGTAACAGATTTTGGGTTTGCCTTCTACAACAACATACATGCTGCCTGTAACCTGTAACCCAGCTAGACCAAGTCCAGGTCTGATCTGGACTCTGACCAAGTTCAGGTCAGAGTCAGATCGAGAGGGGTGACTTTCCAAGGCTTTTGTCGGAGACAGAACTACAGTAACAGATGCTGGCTTGTCTTCTAGTCTTCTGCAACAACACTTCATCTTTCCAAGCCTGTCTTTGCCTTGACAATCCTCTGGGCGAACTATCCCGGCGCTATCACAAACTCACTTGCAAAAGCGTTTCCTCCCAAAAATCTCGACAATCTTTTTCTCGAGCTCTTGATGCACTTCCCAATCAACTTGAAACAATGAGTTATATATCCAAAATCACGATTTCTTTTGGGTGAATGTCAAGGAAATCTAAAAGAAATAAATAATTCAAGATTATTGTAACTTAATACCTTTTATCTCTTTCAAAGAAGTTGATAACTCTGGTCCATAGCGCGTGAACGAGACCCCCACCGGCACGGGAGAGAGTTCGGCGGATTGGAAGACTCTCTGAATTCGAGGATAAGTGGGTACGGTAGCTAGTTGCTGTAGCAGTTCTGTGTAGCAGTTCTGTAGCAGTTCTGTAGCAGTTGCTTTGGCAGCTACTGTGGCAGTTCTCTAGCGGTTTCTTTAGCACATCTTGCAGCGGCTCGCATCCCCGCCCTGAGATCAAAATACCGTATCCCCATCTGGCATTGTGCGCCAGCCGACACGTGCGCTTTGTGATCGCCCATCCAATGATGACTCAGCAGAGAGACTGAAAGATTATTTACACAAACTAGTTTCCCTCCTCGCTTCAGAATTAAAATATTTTTCTCGATTCTGGGCATCATCAAGCTTAAATATCTCACCGAGTTCATTTTACGACAGTTCAGAAGAACTGATTAAGCAGCCCATTAAACATCACAACTGGGGTCCGTGATGGGGAGGAATTTTATTGCCCCGGATCAGTGAGACTGGGAAAGTCTTTTTTTTTTGTTAAAGATATCGAATGCCGTGAAAATAGGCCCTGAATTTCATCAAATCGTTTTCTCAGCCGTTATCTGGGAATTTGGCTTTGAAATTTTGTCTACAATTTGACTCTTCCCCCCCCTACTGTCTAGAAGCTGTCTGCAGCTTAATCTCGAAGCATTCTTTTTTTGGCAAATACTGTGGCTACCCCGTCTCGCAGCTGTTCCAGAAACTGTGGGGCTGTCTTAGAAGCTCGTGGCAACTGTCTACAACTGTCTACAACTACAATACACAAGTAAGCAGCAGTCAATTATTCCTATGCAAAGTGCCAAAGAAACAATTTTAAGAACAACCGGTGAAAAGAAGATAAAAGGGAAGAAGGCAGATAAAAAACGAAGATGGAATTGTGTTCGAATCTTTGAGTTTTTCTTCTCTGTTAAACTATTTGGCCAAATGTTGATATAGGCATTTCATTGGTTTTTGTGATTCGAACGAGGAGATCATATTTTATCAGTAAATAGTTGAACAATAGTTGAACATTTGCAGATGCCTTTTGTTTGGATCTTGGCTTTTTTAATCTACTTTGTAGCTTTGCAAACATGAGCATCTGGCGCATTAAAGAGACAAGTTATAAGCGGTTTTTTTGTAAAGGAACTATATAATTCTTATATAGTTCTGGGTGCCTGTTATTATTAGAAAATACGGTACTTAAAATAAGCTATATAAAATCTTATAGTTCTAATTTAAAGTTCTTTAAAGTCCTTGTTTTAGTCCATCTCAATCTCCTCACCAGGAATCCATAAATCGATGATCGGAATTCGTGTCAACGATTCGGGCAAATTCACTCATCCATTCGGAGCCATTTTTGTTGTATTTTCTGTTGTTTTCTTTTGAAAATCAATCATTTGATTGATATTGATATGATTGGTTTCTTTAAAAAAATGATTGATGTTTTGAATGATTTGAACCACTTTTTAAAAAAATCAATCATTTCCCTATTTTTGATCCGAGAGATAAAGGTTTTATTTCCCCCAAGAAAATCAAAGTTTTTGTACCCAAAAACATCAAAAAAGTTTCAAGTTTCAATTGAAATCAGAATTCAACAATTTATTACGACGAGATCTAGTGAGGGATTTGAGTGTTGAGCTTCTGCAAAAGCTTTGGAAGCCAGTAGAAATGGGAAAAACTTGAAATAGTATCAACTCGGCTCGCCTAGATTGCTATTATTAAAGAAAATTCGGTATTATACTTTGTTTGATGACTTTTAAACAAGATCCCGATCATTTGAACTCAATCACAGCCAACTAGATTCTTCTACCGTATTCTCTTCCGTAGTGGTGCCCTCTGATAATCGCCTAAATTCCTCATTAATCTCGAGGAAGCGTTTATCAGAACCTAATAGATGGTCAGGAAGAATGTAGCTGACAGTCAGATCTAGTCGGGATTTTGGAGTGTTGAGGAAGCTGCCGTCTCCATTTTAGAAACGCGTAAAATAGGCATCAACTCAGCTCGCCTGGGTGCACTATTATTGCCAAGAATGCCGCACCATTCGCCGTAGGATTTGAATTCAGACATTAAAGTTTTTCATTTAAATTGAGCGAGCAGAAACCAATTTCTTCAGTGGGGCAGATCCCCTGCGTCACGTAGAACATTGTGTTCTTGATTGAACGGAACTGGAATGATCTAAATCTTAAAGATATCTGGGGCTAATATCTCTTGAGACATCTAAAGATCTCTGAAGATATACAAATTATAAATCTTAAAGATATCTAGATCTAATATCTCTAAGTTTTTCAATCAATCATTTTTCATGATTGATTTCGATGATCAATCCCGGAGATCATTTCATTTCCTATTTTTGATCCCAGAAAGAAGGTTTGTTTCGAAGGAAGAAAATCAATTTTTCTTTTAAACAACTCAAAAAGTTTCAAGTTTCAATTCAAATCAGAATTCAACAATTTATTCTTTATTAAGAATATCAGTGCGTTTTATTGCCTCATTCACTCGTCCAATCGGCCTCTTTCCACCCTGTGTCCACTCTGCGTACTCGGCAACGAAACCCTGAAAAGAAAGAAAGGTTTGTTGTGTCTCCAAACAGACGACACTTTCCAAATTCCGATAACTTTTGAAGGATCAATGTTTTGAGCAGCAATTGAGCAAAGCAAATCTATCCATTTTCCTTTTTTCGCATCAAACTTGAATCCAGTGTAATTAATCTGGACGAGATTACCTTAGTTTTACAGTTTTTGCAGTTATTCACTATTTAGAGTCTTAAAATCGAAAGATTACTTAGAAGATTACCATAGTTTATATCAAAACTACTCACCTTCTCTTCAACACTGTCATCTGTGTGCAAAACTAAAAGCATCTCACTTTCCGTGCTGATCAACTCGTCGGGAATCTGAGAGAATCATCATGAGCTTTAGGATTCAAATGATAAGCTTTAAACAAGTTTAGGTAAACTTTAAACAAGTTTAGGCTAGCATCAAACAGGTTTAGGTAGCTTTAAACAGGTTTAGGTAAACTTTAAACAAGTTTAAGTAAACTTTAAAACAAGTTTTGATGGCTTTTAAGCAGGTTTGAGCTGGCATTGAAAAGCAGGTTCGGTGGCTTTAAACAGGATTTTAGATGAAAGGCTAAACAAGTTTAGGTAAACTTTAAACAAGTTTGGAGGCAAGCTTTAGAAAAGCAAGTTTAGGTGTAGCTTTAAGCAGGTTGGGCTGGCATTTAAACAGTTTTAGGTGGCTTTAAACAGGTTTGAGTAAACTTTTAAACAGGTTTAGGCTAGCATGTAAACAGGTTTAGTGGCTTTAAACTGGGTTTAGGTAAACTTTAAACAAGTCTGGCGAAACTCTAACAAGTTTAATTAAACTTTAAACAAGTTTGAGCTAGCATTAAGCAGTTTTAAAGGCTAATAGTAAAACAGTTTGGTAAAACTTCAAAAGCAAGTCACAGCTTGGCTCTGAAGCAGGTTTAACCAGTAAAACTGGCCCGTCTGGTCAAATTCTTATTGGTTTTGAAAAACGTTGAATTTACTTTCATTCGACTCGAAATCCAATTTGCTATCGAATAAAAAGAAATTCAACGTTTTAAAAACAAATCTGGTTAAGATACGAGCGAAATTAGATTGCCAATGGGAAAGCGGATTGAAGAAGGAGCGGAGTTTAACATAGCTGCCCAGAAGTCAAACCAAATCCAGTCCAGATTCAGGTCCGACATTTGGTGAGCCACCTTTGTGGATCAAGTTTTTAACAAAGACAAGATCAAAACCCAGACAAGACTCTTTAAAACAATTGTTTTCTGATCAATAATTCCCCAAGTTCTCCTTTCAATTCTCTTTTCATTCCCTCTTACCGTATCCGAGCAAAAACGTCGAAAAAGTTTCTCATCTTTGGCCTCTCCTCCATCATAAATCTCGACATAATCTTGGCTCTCGACTTGGGAAATTGAGGATAAGAAAACGATTGCTTTGAGGATAAGAGAAGGATTGTTTTAAGGATAAGAAAAGGATTGTTTTGAGGATAGGAAAAGGATTGTTTTAAGGATAAGAAAAGGATTGTTTTGAGGATCAGAAAACGATTGTTTTAAAGAGCCTAGTCTGGGTTTTGATCCTCAATTTCCCAAGTTCTCCCTTCAATTCTCTTTTCTTTCCCTCTTACCGTATCCGAGCAAAAACGTTCAAAAAGTTTGACTCTTGAATCGTATTGACTTGGGAAATTGAGGATAAGAAAAGGATTGTTTGAAAGAGCCTAGTCTTGGTTTTGATCTTGCCTTTGTTTTTGATCTGTTTTTTTTTTCTTTGACGAAAAGAGAATTGAAGGGAGAGCTTGGGAGATTATTGATCAGAAAACGATTGTTTGATTGATCAGAATCAAACGATTGATCAGAATCAAACGATTGATCAGAAAAACGAGTCTAGTCTGGGTTTTGATCTTGTCTTTGTCTTTTAAAAACTTGATCCACAAAAGTAGCTCACCAAATGTCGGACCTGAATCTGGACTGGATTTGGTTTGACTTCTGGGCAGCTATGTGTAAACTCCGCTCCTTCTTTCAATCCGCTTCCCGTTCCCTTCAATTCTCTTTTCTTTCCCACTTACCGTATCCGAGCAAAAGCGTCCAAAAAGTTTCTCATCTTTGGCCTCTCCTCCATCATAAACCTCGACATAATCGTAGCCCGACCAAGAGCTGTCTGTTTCGAGGTGGAAAGCGTGAAACTGAATTCAAAGTCCATAAAATTAATCGATTTTTTTCTGATACTTTTTGTCTGATAAAAGATTCACTATTTAAACCCCCGCACTTTCAATCGAATTCCTTTCCCGGATGTTGCCTTCATTTTCCATTGACAATCAGCTGTTGGTCGATTGTTACATCTTTCTGTTTTTTCCATGGGAATAGATATAACCGGCTGTTCGCTCAGCTCCCCGGTCGCCACCGCATTCTGGAAATTTGGAAACTGGCAGGTTGCGCTTTTGGATTCTTACGAGAGGACTAGATGCTGGATTGGTTGCCGGATTTTAATTTTAATTGGTTGCCGAATTACTGTATTGGCCCGATGTCGATACGGTAATCCCCAGCTACTTGATTCTGTATCTTTGGTGTCATTACACGACCAATCCTGCTTTTTGATATTGATCCTTGTTGCTGATACGGTAATCTGGCTACTTGATACTGTATTGCTTGATGTCGATACAGTAATCTGACAACTTGATACTGTATCCTGGATTACTGTCATTACGGTATCATACTCTAGTCATCATACTGTTCATACTGTTCTTACAGTATCTTCGATAGTGGAGAAGATGTTATTGCTGTGAATTGGATAAAGAAATCCTGATTTAAATCAGGCCGGACGAGTGAAAGAGACAATAGAATAGACAGTAGACAAAGAACTACAGTGTCATTACTGTGGCTGCTAAGGGGATAACTTCGATAATTCAGGCTGAAGAGAAGAAGGCTGCAGTATCTATACTTTAACTCTTACAGTATCTTCGATTCTCTTCTTCATTGTTTTGGTGGACTAGATTACTGTAGAGAAAAAAGAGACAAGAGAAAAAGGACTAATATTTCGAGCACTCATCATTTTTCCTTATCAAATTACCCGATTGATATGTGGCGTGAAATCCCCGTCTGCTCACCGATCCATCAGCCATGAAAAAGACTGAAATCTGATTTGATGGGGAATACGTTGTTGATGGAAGGAATGAGAACCATTAAAGGGAGATAACATTGGAATTAGTGGGAAGCTGGGAGGATATTATTTGAAATTTTGTCCCAATATTAGCCTCACCTCCGTAAAAATCTCGAATTTATCATAAGTGCAAAGTGAATGTTCTTCAGAACCTCAAGGCAGGAAACTCTTCAGTGATGGTTTTAAAAGGAGCTTGTGATACTACAGGACAGATCCTCGAGGACCCAGATACTACAGGACAGATACTACACAGGACAGATACTACAGGACAGATACTACCGGACAGATACTACAAGGGACAGATACTTCGGGACAGATACTAAGGTTCAGATACTACAGGACAGATACACACAGGACAGATACTACAGGACAGATACTACAGGACAGATACTACAGGACAGATACTACAGGACAGATACTACAGGACAGATACTACAGGACAGATTTTGCAGGACAGATGCACAGGACAATACAGGACTGATACTACAGGGATGAGGTGCAAGCCAGTACTGTGATACTACAGTCCTTTGATACTGATCAGCCCCGGGATACTACAGTCCTTGGATACCCTGATCCTTGGATGCTAGATCGCTTGATTGCTACGATCTTGGATACTACAGTCCTGTGATGCTAGAATCCTTGGATTCACGGATCATGGATACTACGGTCATGTTGTGCTGATCTGTCATAGCCCGTGCCCCTCTGATCTGTATAGAATGTTTCCTCACGAGTAATACGTTTTTGTCCCTGTGCGCTTCGCGAAAACTGGCACAGAAATTATCGTGGTTTTAAATTGTTACCAAGAGTAGTAAAAAATCACGAGCGCCGCCTTATATACGAGTCTTTTTTTAAAGACTTTCAGCCAGTTACAATTGATTTGGTGGGAAGTTCCCTCCACACGTGAGTATTCAATTGACTCGGCGATGTAAAGAAGTTGCATAAGCTTAGTTACTCGGAACCCCCCCCATGCGTCGATCAATCGCGTAACGAATTACTCCGAGAAACCTCTAAAGAAACCTCTAAAGATTTCCAAATTTCAGGCAAATGATATCCGATGTCAGGGCGTTGTCCAGCACATGCCTTTTACAATTCTCCTCTTTCGGTACTCGTTTTGGATGATTTGGGAAGCAATGTTCCCTGTAAAGTTGGCCGAGATTCATTGCTGACAATTCGTCGATTACAATCAATCAGCTAGTTCATGTCTTACATAAAAGAACTTGATTAAACTTGAAAAAGTAAAACGTTGCTGCAGCTTCGTGTTTAAGCGGTTTTCCCCAAAGTTCCCAAGTCCTCAAGTTCCCAAGTTCCCCAGTACCCAAGTTCCCAAGTTCCCGAGTTCTCAAGTCCACGAGTGCTCAAAGTTTCTAGTCCCATCAAGTTCCTGAGTCCTCCATTCCCAAGTTCCCAAGCGCCCCAGTTCCACAGTTCTTAAGTGCCTCAAGTTCCCCAGTTGTCAGGTTCCAAGTTCCCATTTTTTCAGGTTTTGTTTAGAATCATCAGTTTCCCCAGTCCTCAAGTTCCCAAGTCCTCAAGTTTAAGAAGTTCCCAAGTACCCCAGTTCCCCCACAGAGTTTCTGAGTCCTCAAGTTCCCCAAGTCACCTCAAGTTCCTAAGTTCCCAAGTACCCAAGTTCCCCAGTTCCCAAGTCCCTCCTTTCCCAAGTCCTCAAGTTCCCAAGTTCTCAAGTCCCCAAGTCCTCAGGTTCCCAAGTCCCGAGTCCCCCAGTCCCAAATCCCGAGTCCGCAAGTTACCTGACGGATCGTTGAACTCAAAAGAAACATCCGCCCTCCTTATTTTGTGTCCATCTTCGGCCAAATATAACCAGCATTGCAACTGCACTTGTAGCCTAAATTCTTCTTTTAATTCTAAAACTTTCCCAAACTAGTGGCAATGCTTTAGCTTTTCAAAAAGAACTACAATAGCTATAATAGCTTTTCTTGAGAGCTTTAAAACAGCATCACCCCAGATTGAATGTTGAAAGTTTTGTTTATTTCTTTTGTTTCCCCTTTTTTTGCTTAAAAATTTATATCTCACCAATTCGATTCTCACAAATGTGCTCACAGCCAGCATTCTTATGTTGACATTCATCCGTTTTCTATTGAAGAAATTATTCGAAACATATCCCCAACCAGCATGAATCCGAAACAAACTCCAGACGAACTCGATTCGAATCAGAAGTCAAGAAAAAGTGGTTCGCCTGTGAAATCAAATTTCTTCTAATTCTATCATAATATTGGGTTGGTGAATTGAAAACTGCGCCAGCTATTTCACTTGGGACTGTGAAGGACAGCATAAAAAACAAGAGCATTGAACCAGCTGAAAGAGGGGGGTTTGGTTACTTCAACATTTCCTCAAACTGACTCTAAAATAAATAGCCTTGTTTGGGGACTTTTGGCGCATCCCGCATCCAGTCCGGACCTCGCCCCCTTGCGGTTACTACTATTTACAATTCCAGATCATGAGCTGGCTGGGATCATAGGCTTATATAAATTATATGAGCTATTCCGGATCATGAAAAAAAACAACAAAAAACAAGAGCTCAGCTTTCCTTTTTCTTAGAAAATTATTTTTTCAACCAAAAGTTTAGGCCTTAAGACAGAAAGAAAAGAAAAGCGAAAATTTCTCCACAAACTTTCTCAGTCAATCTTGTCTTAAAAATGATCAAAAGTAACCACGATATTCTTTACACAATCAGTTACTTCACCGATTCTCAAGCAATCTTTGGCTTCACTCAGTTTTCTTACCCTCAATGTTGAAATGAGTAGAGGTGATGAAAATCTAAAACAATTCGAAATAGTCATTTTCTCTAATAATAGTGCACCCACGCGAGCCAGGAGTTGATGCCTATTTTACAGTTTTCGAAGCTTCTACAGAAGCTCAGCCCTCTAATCCCCCACAAGGTCATCGTCAGCTACATTTTCCGACCGCCCATCAATAGGTTCTGATAAGCTGGTTCTCGAGATACAAGGAATTCGGCAACGCTCGCATGCACTACTCTAATAGAGCTATTAGAGCTATTAGAGCTATTAGAGCACTACTCTATTCAGAAAATCCAGTAATTGATCTGAATTTGGGTTTGAATTAGATCAAATGATTGATTTCAAATCTAGTTATTTATTTTTGTACTTCGAAACTTGGATGACCCCAGTTTCTCGGTTTCAAGTTAAGAAATTGAAAGTGAACGAAGATTCTTAAGCGACCACAAAATTTCTTGTTTTAGCCTGTCCAGCGGTTTTTAATGAGGATTTGTTTACGAAAATGAAAGCCAGTCAGCCTCTCCGGCTCCTCTCAAACTGTTGTGTCCAAGGTTCACAGGCATTTTGTCCAAAGTCCCAGTCGACCGACTTTGTGTCAAAAGTCCAAATCGACAAATATCACAAAGCCTCTAATTCACCTGATATCACTTCACCAGCTGATACCACGAGCTAGATTTTCCCCCAGGGTGGGATGATTCTCCTCGAAATTTGGGCTCTGATAAGACCTTGAAATATGAGAATCCTACGAGAATTTTCCCCCCCGATTAAATGATCATCAATGTTAAAAAAGCTGTACTAAGCTTGGACGGAAATCAATACTTAAGCCTAAGCCGAAATAATATTATTAAAAATCGCTCCCGCGAGTTCTTACATCTGGTCGAAGACTGAAACCGATATCGCACTTGCAACTGGAAATCTCTGCAGTTCGATTTTTCGATAAAAAGCCTCACGGTAACTATTATCTACTATTTCTTTTACTACAGAGTGACCAAGAATTCCCGCAACAACGTCGGGCATTTAACCGACGCCATTTATCTCCCTGCGATGGGTTTTATGAGAATTTCATTTCGCCCTTTCCCTTACCTGTTTTTATGGTTTTTCGATGATACTTATTTGCTTGCCGCCGGTCACACGTTCCCCAAGCCGTTGCAGGCCCTTTTGAATGGAGGCAGATTTGGCTTTTAATTGTTAATTTGTCTTGTCAGCGCCGGCTCCCGAGCCAAAGAAAGTGCAGGAGTTTCGTTGAGACCTTCCACAGACTTCATCTCGTTTTCCGAGTGGCCACCCAGCTCACCCAATCTTAACCCATTGGATTCCTCAATCTGATGTTTCTTGACCTAGAGCATAGTGCTAAAACTCCATAAAAATATTTGAAAGTTGAAGATGCTCGTATCCCCGCCAGGGATCCCCGATGCCTATTTGCTACGGTCGACTCGTAGAGTCAACGTAAGATAACACCCCAGAACGTTTCCCAAACATTTGCAGGCCTGTCTGAATGCCGATAAAAACAAAATTTGGCTTTTAGGTATTCTTTGTTTACTGTTACTCATGTTTGAATAAAAATAATTTGATGTATTGCTGAATGGGTTTTGGTTTGGTTTAAAGTTGGTTTTGGTTAGTTTGGTTTGATTGAGTTTGATTAGTTGGTTGGTTGATTAGTTGGATTAAAAATTGATTTAAAAGCCAGGTCTTGTGTTTGCTGCAGTGATTCTTGGTCACCCTGTAGGTGCTTTGGCGTTCTGAATTTACTCAATTAAAATTAGTTATAAACAAATTTTTGCCCGATAAGTCACTCCGATTGTTCTCTTAATCATGTTATCACAGTGATTTGATCCTTGACATTCATCAATTCCTTTGTCCGGTATGGGTTTTCCGAAATCCCTTTTGCACAAAGGACAATAGTGAATCTAGAAATAAATTGCTTGAAAAAAAGGAGTTTCAGTTTGGGTTTGAGGTTGGGTTTTCTGAGTTCGGCTTGACTTTGGCTTGAGGCTTTAGCTTGAGCACAGCTAGGCCTTGGCCCGAGCCTTAGCTTGAGCGCCAAACTGACTTTAAAAAGCCAAGGCCAAAGCCCGAGCTTTGAAAGCAGGGCTTTAACCCGAACCTTAAGCTGGTTTAAACCGCTCACCTTCGGTTCTGGGTTCAGTTTCAGTTTCGGTTTCAGTTTCAGTTTGATTACCTCAGCATTAACCGTTTACTTTATTCCCAGTGATCACGTTTTTTCCGCTATTTGACCACGTAACCTTTCAATGGTTATTTACCAAGCAAAATATTTAAATAAACATTGAGAAATTCCACTATATTGAAACACTCGCGTTTTCCGAAATTCTCATAAACTCCTTGAAACAAACCCGTTACTTCAATCGATCCCTCCCAAATGATGAGCTGATCGTAGATGCAATCTTTACATACTGTTCCACCTACAGCCATCCCGACAGTTTTCAATGTTTTTTGTTCATTTATCTATTCTTTATCATTCTTTAAATAGCTATTAACAGTATTTGATTGATTTTATTCATTTTATTCATTTTATTTATTTGATTCATTTGATTCATTTGATTCATTTTGATTCATTTGATTCATTTTATTCATTTTATTCATTTTATTCATTTTATTCATTTTATTCATTTTATTTATTTGTTTCATTTTATTCATTTTATTTCATTTTGATACATTTTTATTCATATTTATTCATTTTATTCATTTAATTTATTTTATTTATTTGGTCATTTTATTTAAATTTTTTATTCATTTTATTCATTTTTGTTATTTGAGTTCATTTTATTTATTTGATTCAATTTTATTCTAAATTTAGTTTTGTTTATTCATTTGATTCATTTGATTCATTTGATTCATTTGATTCATTTGATTAATTTGATTCATTTGATTATTTTATTAATTTTGGTTCAATTTATTCATTTTATTCATTTGATTCATTTTATTCATTTTTTCAGAATTTACCTGAAAAAAGTAGACTTTGGCGCGCTATTTGATATCCTTTTTCAACATGAATCCTCCATAAACAGTGGATTTCGTTGGATGGGAGATAGGGATATCTGAGGACCTTAAAAATAAAGATATGAGAAATAAAGATATAAAAATAAAGATATAAAATTGCAGGCATCCTCAAGTTCAAAGATAGGAATATCCATCTAAAGATACAAGTACAAAAGACATATAAAGATTATAAGAATAAGATCTCTAAAATGAGATTAGATTGATTTTGGTATAAACAAGCGTTACTAAACTTTTTGTTGTGAGGGAAGCTTTTTAAAAAATGTCTGTATTTAAAAAGTACATTTTCTTGTATGTGTTTGGGATCTTTTTGAATGGTTATTCTTGTTTTTAAGATCTTCTTTCTTGCTTTTGAGTGACCAATTCGACCATCAGTTTCTTTCTTTTTTAGGAGCTCAAATTAGACAACAGTCGAAGAATCTCATCGAGTTTGGATCCAGCTTTTTGGTTTTATTTATTGTCCCCAGCCGGTGCCGAAAACCTGACTCTAACGCTTTCGGAAAAGTGATGAAGATCTCAGAAACATGAACATTATCGTTGACTTTGACCAAGCGATGACAGTCGACAAGCGATCATTTTTGCAATCTGCAATCGAATCAGATGCTATGTCCAAACGACGCGTGAACGCACGCAGCCGGTTCTATCGTTCCCAATTCTATTGATGAGCATCTCACACGCCATTGGAAGGCGATCAGATGCGGGAAATGGCTAGATCAGATGCGGGATCAGTTAAATATGCAAACAAGGCTTCACAGGTCGTTACTGCCGGAATCCTCATCCGCCACGCTAAAGATCATAGCCTTTGGAACTTTGCTGGAGATAGAGAAATGGATCTATTTCGATGACCACTATTTGGCGATGGCTGGCTGGACTCCAGAATCATATCGATGTGAAACATCATCCCCATCAATCATATCCATGTCAAGGCGGTGCCAGAACTTTTTGGCTTGAGTTTCAGTCGTTCCAATTCTGTGTTTGACCATCTCCATTTTATTGGAAGGCGATCAAATGGAAATATTTGGATCGTATGAGGTCGCGCTGTGGCATGTCTGTTTTTGTGAGAATGACTGATTCTGTTTTTGGGGCAATCATATCAACTGGTTTGGAGGCGATGAAGTGCGGTAACGCTAGATCCGAGATCACGCAACAGTTTCGATGTTCGAATTCTACCATTGAGCATCTCCTCCTTGTTGGAGAGAGGCGATCAAATACGGGAAGTATTTGATCAGATGCTTGCATGTGGTTTCGATGTTCAAATTCTACCATTCAGCACATTTCCTACACCCCATTGATGAGCATCTCAACACCATTGGAAAGGTGATCAGATGCGGGAGAGTACTTCCTCGCTAGTTAAGCGGGTGCAAACGCTGTTTTATATCGAAAAACCTAATATTATATATCAAACATAACTTTAAACCCGAAAAAAAGATAGAATAAAACCTTGGCGATTGAATAGGCATAATCTTGATCGGTGGACCCCCACAAACCACTGGCGGAAAACGCCAAACAGAAATTCAGGAGTAAAGTCGCTTGGAAAAATTTTTTTGGCTCAATTGCCTACTATCTAAGATCGACCGCTTTTTTATATTTGATTTATTGTTTTATGTCAGTTTTTCAGCAGAAAATCGCCCTCATTTCCATGCTCATCCCGATTCGAGGCGGAGACGATCGTCCGAAATCCCGGCTCATCGCCGCAGATTTTCTCTGAAAATCAAAAATCTTAAAAAACTTTCAAATTTATAACTGTGCCTCAAAATTTGTATTTGAGTTTCAAATATTTAAATTTATTTTGAGTTTATAGAAACTTCAAAGTTTGTCTGAGCTTTATCCAATTTTAGTTAAATTTTAAAGAATTTGAAACTATTTAATTGTTCTTATTCCTTTTGCAGATTCCCCTTTGCTTCCAATGCCTCTTTATCAAATTCATTTCCCGTTAGAGCCGCTAGATTATGGAACTTGCTCCCCAAACATGACATACCCGAAATTCAGTCGCTTTTCATATTCAAGAAAAACGTATCGATGTTTTAGCTCTTTTCCTTTTGCCACCAGCAAATGCCCCTTTGAAACAGCAGTTTCAGTATGTATTATAACAACGATTAAGTATCCTTCTTGCATTTCTCTATGATTTCTTTCACTTTATCGTTTGAATAAAGTATTATTAATGTGCCCAGTCGACTTAACTAGAAAGGCCCCCACCTTAATAACATTTTAAACGTTTAAAATATATCTTATATTTTTGACATATGTATCAATATCTTATCTATATTAAATATATCTATTTTATAGTTTATAAAGCGCGAAACTTTCTCTAAACTTTGTCAATTTGGATTGCTGAGTTTTGAGGAACTTTTTCTTATTTTGACCAAACCGCTTTTCTAAGAAAGGCTTACATTTCAAGCAGATTTTAAATATCTTAATTATATATTTAAGCAATATTTAATTATATATCTGTGTTTACATTTAATATGTCTATTTTTTAGTTTATAAAGCTTTAAACTTTATCCAGTTTCAGTTAAGGTTTTGAGAGCTTTGCTTATTTTGATCAAACTGCTTTTCTAGATTTCTAGAATGATTTGCACTTTAAGCAAAGATCTATTTAAATATATGTATATTATATATCATATATTTATTTGTAATTCTAAACTTTTCTCTAAACTTTATCCAATTTCAGTTAAAGTTTAGAGAAGTTTATTTGATTTGAACAAGAAAGAGCTTTTCTCAAGAAAGGCCACATTTCAAGCAAACATTTTTTAAACATTTTAAATATATTTACTGTTTAAATATAATATATATTATATATCTATATTAAATATATCTATTTTTATAGTTATAAAGCACGAAACTTTCTCTAAACTTTGTCCAATTTAGTTAAAGTTTAAGGGAGTTTAGCCTGATTTAATGGAGAATTTGCTTTTTCTAGAGAAAGGCTTACACATTTCAAGCAGATTTTAAATATCTTCCAGTCTATATTTATATTAAATATATCTATTCTTAGTTTATTAAACTCTCTAAACTTTCATACAAACTTTATCCAATTTCAGTTAAAGTTTAAAGAACTTTTAGCTTATTTTGATCAAACTGCTTTTCTAGAAGAGCTTACATTTTAAGCAAAGATTTTAAACATTTTAAATATATTTATATATAAATATAGATGTTAAATGAGTTTAAAATATATCCCAAAAGATATCTTGATAGATTTATGGTTTGTTTTTAAGTTGCACCTTGTTTTTTTCCGTTTTTATCATTCCATCTTCTCGCACAATGATCAATTCTCTTTTTTCGTCAACACAAGCCAAGTTGGGAGCTGAAAAAAAGAACATTTGCTCCAAGTTCTCTTATTTAAATACGAAAATTTACAAAATCTATCGTTTTTTTTTTTTGTTATTTTCCTAATTCCGCAGCGAAAATTGCAAATTTCCCCTTTTTTAAAGCTAAATACTCGATTTTCTTTCTGTTTCCTTCAAGTTTCCATTGGATTTGATTAGAATTAGAAACAATTTATATAAATAAGTATTTCTGTATCTATTTGCTATCGATTTCTGTCCAATTCTCTCTATTTTAGATCGATTTTAATATATTTATTAGTTCCATTTATCCCCCCTTTTATCACCCCTCCCTCCCCACGCACCTCTCTGCTGCCTTGGCGGCAAGGCGGTTTAATCTCCTCGCTGTCAACATCCCCCAGCCCTCCCGGTTGATCCCACTCCCGTGCAATGAGGATAACACTAGAGTCTCAGAAATGACCATGTTTGATAAAATCTAGAGCTCAAAATCTTTAGAGCACGTGACTTTTACCCCGTCAGCCGAGAAATGAACACTTTTGAAGGGGCTTTTGAACCTTTGAATCACGTTTGCTCTATTTTCTTTGCGCACTTTTAAATCTTGTCCCGATATCTATTCCGAAAATATTGAATTTCCCTCAGAGACGATGATGCCATAAACACATAGACCGTCCGGAGTCGGTGTAAGTTCAAAGCTGGGTGTTCACTGAGATACGTTCGACCACAAGGCTGAGAATGAAAGCAGTTTGCTGAAGATTTTTCATTTCAACAACTGTTTACAATGATCTCTCTATGCTAATCTATGCGTTAAATTAGCTAAATTCACTTCGAACATCCGGCCTTTGTGATTTGCTTGTCGAATATCCACACTCCCCCAGCTCGACTCGTTGTCCGATTTCTTGCCGGAAGCCTATAAAGAGATTAAATGTTTAAAAAGACCCCCCCATCCTAAAGAATCAACTCAAAACATTGGTGAACTTGTTATTCCGATTGTTTTTATTTAAAGCGAAAAGAAAAAGATCCACTTCCACCCTAGACTTATGTTTTTCGGTTTAAGACAGAAACGTTCTTTTCCAGTTCAGCTGGTTTTGGTTTCGATTTTGGTTTCGATTTCGGTAACCGAACCGAAAAACTAATCATTTCAGTTGAACCGAAACCAGGCCAGAGGCAAAATTCGATAACGGACGATAAAGTGAACATAGTGGTAAGCTACCACTGAACTTTTGTTTCGGTTTTGAACCGGAAACGTTCTTTTTCGGTTCTTTTGGTTCGGTTTGGTTTTGGTTTCGATTTCGGTTAACCAGATCAGATTGAACCGACACGAAAATGATCTTTTCGGTTGAACGGCCCCAGGACCCAGGCAAAATTCGATAACGGACGATAAGAGTGAACCTAGTATGGTAGCTACCACTAGATTTGTGTTTTCGGTTTGAACCGGAAACGTTCTTTTTCGGCTCGGTTCTCGTTTTGGTTTTAGTTTCGGTTAACCGAACCGAACCGAACCGAAAAAATTATCTTTTCGGTTGAACCGAAACCGAACCGAACCAAAATTCGATAACGGACGATAAAGTGAACATAGTGGTAAGCTACCACTGGGTTGTGTTTCGTTTTGAATCGAAAACGTTTTTTTTTGGCTCGGTTTTGGTTTTCAGTTCAGCCGAAAAGATGATTTTTTCGATTCTATTTCGGTAACCGGTGAGCAAAAACTAATCATTTCGGTGGGAACCGGGCTTGAAGTTTCAGGTTTGACTTCCGTTGAACCGAAGGTTCTTTTCAGTTGAACCGAAACCGAATCCAGCGAGACAACCAGAAACACAGATCCTGCCAGAATCCACCCAGTCCGCCGACCACTACTCGGCTTCGGGAGAATGGTGTCATGAAGGAGAGACCTCTCCTCCAGTGTCCCTAGCATAGTGCGCGCTGAAGATCTATTTTCTTGTGTATCGTCTTTTAAGCATTATTCGAAATGTTTTTCTCGAAAGTTTTACTTGACGCAAAATCGTATTATGGTTCTCCCCAGCGAGTCCACCTCCCCGACTTTTGATTTCTCAAAGTTGTAATCTTGACCTAAACTTTGAACATTTATATGACTAGATAAATCTAGAGAATCTAGATAATTCTATAGAATAATATAAACTTTATCTACTAGATAAAGGAACTAAGATGTTGTTTTTGATGATATCTGTCTGTTTGTCTGTCTAGCTGTCTGTCTATCTGTCTGTCTGTCTGGCTGTCATCTATCTATCTGTCTTTTTGTCTGTCTGTCTTTCCGTCTGTCTGTCTGTCTGTCTGTCTGTCTAGCTGTCTGTCTGTCTGTCTCATCTAGCTGTCTATCTGTCTGTCTGTCTATCTATCTATCTAGCTGTCTCTGTCAGCTGTCTACATCTAGCTGTCTGTCTATCTAGCTGTCTGTCTAGCTGTCTGTCTGTCTGTCTATCTAGCTGTCTATCTAGCTGTCTGTCTAGCTGTCTCTGTCTGTCCCAGCTGTCTGCTCTAGCTGTGTCTGTCTAGCTGTCTGTCTTTCTAGCTGTCTATCTAGCTGTCTGTCTGTCTGTCTGTCTGTCTATCTGTCTGTCTATCTTATATCTATCTATCTATCTATCTATCTATTTATCTATCTATCTGTTCCTCATCTCCACAGAGGACCGTTTCAAATAACCTAGTTAGTTTGACTTGCAGAATTTCATCTAGTTTTGCCAAACTGAAATTCCTGACCCGGGCCGGGTCGAACCCGGTTTCTTTGAGCTAGAGACAAGTCCTAAAACTCGCACTGCACCATCTACTATGGTCGAGTGGTTAACGTCTCTCAAACGAACGGAAAGTTCGCCTCCTCTTCCTTTCAATTTTATTGCTTTTTCTTCTGCAAAAACAGCAGTAAAGCGTAACAAAAAAGATCGATAACACATCAAATTCCACATCACTTACCCGTTTGTATACTTCCATAGAAGATATCTACACTTAGGTCCCGATCCGATCCCAGTGTGCTCCTTTAAGAAACCGATCACGTGATTTAATACGTGAACTACTGAAAGGAAAGGAGAGATAAATGATATTTGTATGCATTGAAATGTTCAAATTAAGTCATGGTCCTAGAAAAATCGAAAAAAGATCTAGTTTTAGCTCTACCTAGTCTTTATGTCGATCTAGACTTGCAGTCAACCCCAAGAAAGCCTTGTTTAGTTCAAGTCTAGCTAGGTAAAGCCCTTGCCAAGATCAAGCCAAGCTAGGGAAAGCCTTGCTTAGTTCAAGCCAAGCTGAGGAAAGCCTTGTTTAGTTCAAGCCAAGCTAGGAAAGCCTTTGCTTAGTTCAAGCCAAGCTAGGGAGCCTTCTTTTGGTTTCTGACAAAGTAAACCCTGCCTACATCTTTGAACACAAAGTACACCTACCAATTCCAAATTTATCGCAATTCTTCCCGGTCGAGATCGATTGATTTACGTCACCTCGTCGGCCAACATAAAACAACAACTGCCAAGAAAAGCTTTAATCTTTAAAGAAATTTAAGAACAACTTTATCCCCCAGCCATTAATTTCTTTTTGAATGTTTTGCTTCGATCAATTTCTTCCTTTCTTTTACATTTTCAAAACTGTAAAGAGACAGAATGATTTCAATATTGATTTGAAATAATATAAATCATCGTCTCCAATTGGTTCATTCAAGAACAGTTACAGAACTCAAGAAAACGAAGGATTTGCAAGCTTTTTCCTTGGCATTCCCGCTCACGCAGATGCGAAGCGCAATAAAATATTCTCCAATTGATTCACTCCAAAGGCAGTTCTAGTAAATAGTTTAAAAGCTTTTCCTTGGCATTCTCATCAGATAGACACAATAAAATAATCTCCGATTCACCAACTCGAAAACAGAAGTATTTGGGATTTGATGCATAATTATCCGGACTTCTTTTATAAATGATTTTTATTGTAAAAAATAACATAAATAGTTAGAAAAATATGTTTAATTATTATTGATTATTCTGGAGCATATTCACCGCCTACATCAATAACTGATTGCCATTTGCTTGGAGACGATCGATTCCACGAGCGAGAATAAACGATCTTTGGAGGCAATCCACGCTTTACATCGTCTATCAGTCATCCAAATCGTTGTAGATCTTATTTGTTTGCCAATTTTTGAGCGATCGATTGACGTATTGGTAGTCCGTTGGGAGACTTCTCCAGTTCTTTGAGATCATGAAACGACTCTACGGCGAGACCATCCCTTTTCAGCGAAATGGTAGAGCATGATATGGCGAAGATGGATATGATTGTCGACTCCATTTTGTTCACTAAAAGAATAACGAATATTTTTGAAAAGAAATAGACAAAAAGCTTTCAAAACAAAAAAGATACAAGCACGCAAAAGAAGTCGGATAAGTATGCATCAACCCAATATTTAAAAGCTTTTTTCTTTTAACATTCCCATCACTCACCCACATTTGTCGACGGTGAAACGATATAGTTTTTATGCGCACGTGTTCTGGGGATAAACGTGAGGCAAGTATGATTCTCCCCATGTCTCATCGCTTTCAGAAGAGATTCTTTTGCTCCCCCTAAAAGCTATAAATATTCCTTAAATCGACTACGTTGTATGTATTGAATTCAATTATTTTTTTAAAAATCAAAGCGCATAATAAAGTTTTCTTTCACAGGTATTTTGAAAGTGTTTTTATGATCTCAAAATGGGAATTTCTTTTTAGTTTGAATTTTAGTTAAAAATTTGGCCGTTAACATAAAAGCTTTTGACTATGGGTCTGGGATCAAAGCATGACCAATTGGACCGCAATTGAACACCAGTCAGAACACCAATTGAACATCACGGGAACACCAATTGAACATCAATTGAACACCAATTGAACACCAATTGAACACCAATTGAACACCAATTGAACACCAATTGAACACAGCTTGATTGACAGTCAAAGCCCACAGCAGCACCACCAACCAGTGATCAACACTTATGAAAGAAGTTCTTGAGAGTATAAAAGCCTAAAAATCTGTAGAGTTTTTTGCAATAAAAAATAGTAAATTATATAGTTGCATTCTTAAACACTAAGATTTAAAGATTTTAAATTAAAAAAATTAAAGATTAAAGTATTTTTGTGATGGAGGCGGCGCTTGAAAATGATCTTTTCTTTGTTGTTCTTTAGTTAGTCTATTTGGCGTCCAGCTGATCCAAATTTAGCTTTGAAAACAAGTAGAACATCTGAAATAGTTATTCTAAACTTTCCTGAAAAGTTCTTTAGCGAGATTAAATAAGGGATGGCTGGCGTCAGGCCAGAGTCACGTTCCTTTTTCGCGGTGGCTGCTCCAATTTTCACGTCGGTGTTCAATTCTCGATTTTCATTTAAATTCAGCTCTTTTCATTCGCGTTTCTTTTGTTTTCTGAAATTTGATAGATTAAATCGACATTTTCATCGTTATTTGAAATTTATATAGGAAGCATCAAAAGGAGTTGATGCTTGAAAGAATAGAACAAATAAAATGATCATTGTAGAAAAAGGGCTTTAGCTGGTCAATATGGTAGAGTTCTAGTAATCAATAACAATACTGAAGTACTGTAGCTGGTAAAGTATTGTTGTAAATGGGTAAATATGGTAGAGTTCATTAATCAATGAATAACAATACCAAAGCTGAAACTGTAAATAGGCTGCGATCTGAGGCTGATCCGAGAGCGCAGTCCCACGAGCCGAATCTGAAACCTGATCTGCGTTCTGATCCCCAGTCTGAGAGCTGATGCAGCGATCTGATCTGATCACGAAGCTGATCTGTGATCTGATCTGATCTGAGAGCTGATCTGGCATGATCTGAAATCTGATCCCCGAGCAGATCTGTGATCTGATCTGATCCTCCGAGCTGATCTGTGATCTGATCACAGTCTGAAACTGATCATGATCTGATCTGATCTGAGAGCTGATCTGTGATCTGATCTGATCTGAGAGCTGATCTGTGATCTGATCTGATCCTGAGAGCTGATCTGTGATCTGATCTGATCCGAGAGCTGATCTGTGATCTGATCTGATCTGAGAGCTGATCTGTGATCTGATCTGATCTGAGAGCTGATCTGTGATCTGATCCGATCTCCGAGCTGATCTGTGATCTGATCTGATCCGAGAACTGATCTGTGATCTGATCTGATCTGAGAGCTGATCTGTGATCTGATCTGATCTCCGAGCTGATCTGTGATCTGATCTGATCGGGAAGCTGATCTGGTGATCCCAGTCAGGCGATCCCAGCCCAGCCGTTTTTTGATCTGAGAGCTGATCTGTGATCTGATCCGATCACGAGGGAGCTGATCAGCTGCTGAGATCTGATCCTGATCTGTGATCCGCTTTGCCAATCGTTCTACTAATTACTTTATTTGTAAATAGTCAACCAGAAGTCAACCAGTAAATTTACAGTAAATGCTAGTTCCCCAATAGGCTTGAGCACTAAATTAGCTGAGTCGAGGTTACTGTAACCCCGACAGACACTCAAATTGGAGTGGTGCTATAGCCGTGAATGGCATTTTTTGAGGTACTTTCTTAAGAGTAAGAATAAGGACTGTATAATCAAAAAGTTAGTTTAAAGAAATCGTCATAAAGTGGCTTTTTGCTGTAATCAACTCCAAAAATTTTCAGATTTTCTTAGAGAAATTTGAATATAATCGACTAGTGATGTTGGTTTGGGTAAAAAAGATTTTCGAAGGGGTGATTCGGTGACAAAATCGTGATGGAGACCATATGTTCGAATGGATAAAAGAAGGGAGAGAGAAAGAGGGGAAGAGAGGGAGAGAGGAAGAGAGGAAGAGAGGAAGAGAGGAAGAGAGAAATTTTGCTCTTTTTTGACCGATTCCATATACCACATTTGAGTTATGTCTGATCTTGTTTCGACGTCCTGTTTTACTAAAATTTCGTTCACTGATTATGGTTTTCTTTGGAGTGAAAGTAAAAAACAATAAAAACAATAAAACATAAAAACAATAAAAATGATCGTCTAGAATTCTAAACTTTCATCAGTCAGTTTTGTTTTTTTATTTTTGTGATTATTGATTAAATGATTTTACGGGGATTTAGACTAAGGGAAGAGTTGTTTTTGGCTTCTGTAGAGATATATTGGGTTGGTGAATTAGGGGAGCACATAACGAATATTTCGCAGGACTCATGAAGATAAAAAAAAACAAACCCACATTGAACTAGCTGAAGGGGTTTTGGTTACTTCAACATTTCCTCAAACTGAAAAATAGCGCTTGTTTGGGGACTTTTTGGTGCTTCCCGCATCCAGTCCGGACCTCGCCCCTTTTGATTACTATTTATTCCGGATCCTGAGCTACTCCAGATCCTGAGCTATTCCGGATCCTGAGCTATTCCAGATCATGAGCTACTCCAGATCATAGAGCTATTCCGGATCATGAGCTATTCCAGATCATGAGCTACTCCAGATCATGAGCTATTCCGGATCCCCCGCTATTCCAGATCTTGAGCTATTCCGGATGTGAGCTATTCAGATCATAAGCTATTCCGGATCATGAAGCTATTCCTGGATCATGAGCTACTCCAGATCATGAGCTTAATGAGCTTACGGGAGAACACTTCGATTCGGAAGACCCGGTCAAAAATTGGCTTTGAAAGTTTTTCGATTCAAAACCAAAATCCTACTACCCCGAGAAATCCTCAAATTGCCTGTAAAATGGGCAGAAGTCATCCAATAATGGAAATTATTTGGAATGAATTCATGGTTTTGTATTTTGAATAAATTTTGGTTCAAAGTCTCACGCAGTTTTCAAGTCCACCAACCCAATATTTATACTTTGATCTTTATAATTTCTTTTGAGACCGTTTTTCGGTGTGGTTCAATGGTAGATGTCTTGAAAACGCACAATTCATCAAAAATTTCACACTTAATAGGAGAAACTTCGCTTAAACTATGAAGCAACCTGGCACTATTACAATTACTTTAACACTTGCGTGAAAAAAGGGATGAATGAAAGGGAACTCAAAACTGACTCAAAACAAAGAGAAACCTTAAATATTGTTCGGGCTTAAATAATAATTAAATTGCTGAAAAGCTACGTCAAACGGACCTTTGAATATCATCTCGTGGCTGGATTACGTTGTTTATCCATCGAGTTTGAAAATTTTGACTAACTGCGGAAGTAGTGGCGACAGCTTCTCTTTTGTTTTTGCTTTCTTAATTGAATCTTACAATTGACATTCTGTAGGTTTGATGACAGCATTATGTGTTTGTGTGCCCTCATCTTTGTGCCAAGTTATCCAGATAAGCCAGGGTTTCTTTATGAGCTTTACTTTATAAGTAGATTACTGGATTGTACAGGGTGAGCCCAGTGGCCGTTACATATAAAAAGAGTCTCTGTATAAGGCCCACCTGTACAATCCAGTAATTTCCTCATAAAGTAAAGCTCATAAAAAAAACTCAAAATGTTAAAGATTTTTCTTGAAATAACTTTTATTTGTCTCATAACAATTCCTAAAAACTATTCCTTTTCAAACAGATCACTCATTAAGCTTTTACCTGGGGAAAAATTCAAGCGTCGTAGAAGAAAGTCGATCGTGGCCAGAAGGTATAGGAGATCCGACTCTTGCCAAGCCTTTTCCCAAAGATGTAATAGCTTTTACACAGGCGTCCAAACCCCAAATCGAAGCGTCGATCATTGGCGAGAAGAAGGTTCACTACTGGACAACGAAATATGATATTTGAAAAACGATCGTCGCTTTCGCTCGTCTGCTGTAACTCCCTACCGTATTTCTAAATAATAATATTACCATTGTGTAGCCTTGAAAGAGCTTTCAGGAAATGTATAACACTAATAGTTTAAACTCAAAGACAACCAGGAGTTTTGGAACGCGCAAAGTGACGATCGTTTTTCAAATATCGTATTTTCACGTGTCAGCTGCTGCCACGAGATACGGTGCAAAACCATACGCCACCCCCTCAATTTCAATTTTCTGCGGCTCCCGTGCGCCGGTGACAAAAAAAACTTTAAAACGTAGTTAGATTCAGGACCAAAATAACCTGGAATCCCAAAAATCGTCGACATATATAGCAACATGAATGGGGGAAATATAACTGCCAAAAACGAAAATTCCCCCGGTGCAAAACCATACGCCACCCCCCAGTTTTTTGGTGTCGTTGTTGTATTTTTGTTCAATTTTTATGATAACAAGGTTTATTTATAACAGTAACAGTTTCTTTATATTTGCCATTGTCTGTCCTCGACGACTGATCACGTCAAATTATTAACTCAGTATGCTGTCAACTATCTTTTTTGATGGTGCTTCTTGGAATGGCATTCCTCTCACGACCATGGCATCTTTGAGCGCTTGAAAATTTGCGTTGTTATTATTTGGAAATGTACTAAGCTCGACGAGCAAGCATCCACACAGATTCTCCATGGGGTTGAGATCCGGGGAGCACGCAGGCCAATCCAGAGGGCACTCCG